CAGCATGCCCTGGGGGCAGGGCCGGCACAGCATGCAGGACCGGGGATTAAACCCTGGTCCCTGTGCTTGCCAAAGCAGGCGCTTAGTGTGCTGATCTATCTCACCGGTCCTCATTCATGGTATCTTGTTTGGCATGCATAATTCTTCTGTGAACTCTAACATGTGAAAAAATTATTTGTGCATTTATTTTGGGGCCTAGGATTTAGCTTTCTTCAATGAAAATGTTTGTTCTTCTAATAGTTTTAAAAAAAAAAAAAAAAACATTTTCTCACTGCAATCTGTCACTAACACCCCCAGAAGTCTGTCTCTGCCACCGGGCACTCTAAGCCCCCTCCTGCAGCTCGGCCCTGGGCACCCCAGATCCATTCCCCATCCCTCCAGGCTGTTTCCAGGTGTTTTGGGTAATCCTCAGGCTTACTCTTCCGAGAACGGGTGTAATAGCAACTTGGCAGTGACATTCCACCTCCTCGGTCGTCTCAGAGTTGGCGTCTCTTGTTGTCCTCTCTCTTGATGCTTGGCCAAACTTTCTGGTTCTTTGTATGTCAAGTAATTTTGAATTCTATCCTAAAAACTTCAGCGGTTATGAGGCTCTGGGTCTTGTTTAAATATGTGGAAGAAAATGGCATTCATTCATTCATTCATTCATTCATTTACTCTGTTACTGGGGATTGAATTCAGGGACTTCACTAAACTATATCCCCAGACCTTTTGGTTTTAATATTGAGGGAGGGTCTGACTAAGACACTGCTCAGACTGGGCTCAAACTTGCAATCCTCCTGGCTCAGCCTTCCAGAGGGCTGAGATCACAGGCGTGTGCCGCCATGCCAACCTCTTTTCATTGGATAATATACCCAATTAAGATCAAGCTGAAAATTCCAAATCATGTTCTTTATCGGTCGTGGCTACAAAGTCAGTCCAAGGTTTTGTGGCGCTAAGTCCACCATTCATGCGTGCTGCTAGGAGCCAGCCTGAGGCCTGGGCAGGGTCCCAGCTCTGCAGGTCGGGACTCAGAACCTGAGGAAGCCCTTGTCTTGTGCCAGCCCCCATCCTGGTCCCATTACCACTGCGCGATGCCACATGCCCAGGGGTGATCTCCCAGAGCAGGCTCTCTGGTGGGTGCTTGCAGGGAGGAACTGTGGGCTCCCGGGGCTGCAAGCGGTAGATGTGATCAGGATGTGATGCCCCTGGGGGTGGGGACTGCTGCTGCCCCTGTGACCTGCTGTTCCCTATTCTCTCCTAGAGGCTGTGCACCCCTGTGTACTGCAGGTACCAGTTCTATAAGACTCCAGTTCACCAGACCAAGGGGGAGCCCCACGGAACCCATGTTTATTTCCACGACATCAATGTCATCTTCCTCGGGGCCATGCACCCTGGTGAGCTGCGGGAGTACCTGGAGGGCGCCCCCATGGTGGTGGAAGTTCACGACCGGGACCGGAAGTTGCAGGAGTCTTCCCAGAAACCCATCCTGTTTGGAGAGGACCGCCTGGATTCCCACCTCAACCTCCAGGCCTTCATCTCACCTGCAGACACAGAGAACAACCCTTTTGAGTCCCAAAAAACGCAATGGGACCCTTACGGAGTGGCCCACGTCAGTTTCGCTGACCTTCTCCTTGGCCACAAGTACTTGAACTTGGTTGTCCCCATCCACAACTGCGAGCCCAAGTCCACAGGCCATGCCCAGGGCAGCAGGAGCCAGAGGCCCGATATCCTGCAGCACAACCCGATGCCTGTGGGCAGCTACCTGGAGGCCAACTCCCTGCTCAAGCTGCGCGTGGGCATCGCAGTGCCGCTGCGCACCAGGACTGGAGCCCTTCAGCCAGACCTCTCTGAGTCCCCATTCGGCCGCATCATTTTTGTGTTTGACGTCAAGAAGCTGTCCCTCCTCCACGGCCTGCTGCAGGACATCACCACAGTCAATGCCAAGGCCCTGGAGCTGGATTCCTACCCCATCAGCAATGTCCAGCAGGTCCTGTCAGCCTTCAAGATGCGGGTGAAGGTGCAGGACCAGCCGTCCCTGGATGTGCTCACCGGCTTCCATGTGCTGGATGGCAGAGTCCACCTCTTTGTCCTCGAGGGCTTGGCAGAACAGGGCCTCAGGCAGCTGTGGAACAGCCAGCAGAGCCGGTAGGGGCTTCCATCTGCACTTGAGGTGAAAGCTACGGCATCCAGGCTTGGAGGGGTGGGAGCTCTTCCACAGCCAAGGCTGGTCCTTTTCCTGGTTTCTGAAAAGGAAGTGTAGGTGCCGTTGCCCTTGGGTTTCATCAGCGTTGATGCTGTTTGGAGGAAGAAAGGATTTAGGGGTAGACAGGGACAGGGTGATGGAGAAGCTGTGAGCCGTCCTCGGGCTTTTGAGCCCAGGATACCATGCCTGGAAGGGTAGAGGGCTCCCTGTTGGATCCAGCTCAGCCCGGGGAAGCCTTGTCTGATTATTTTGAGGCTCCGGGTGCCACTCACGCCAGCTGCAGGAAGTAGTTCTCTGGAGGCTCTGGGATAGCCGGGAGATTCTGCTCAGTGGGGACTTTGCAGAAGCATTAGTGTCTGCTCGGGGCCAGTGCAGGTGGCCGCTCGTGCTCTTCCCTTCAGTTTGGGTGACATGGTGATTCTCTCCTTCACAACTCACAAGTACCCTCAAAATAGAGATTCCTCCTTGTAGTACGGAGGCCCCCTCTGTCCTCAGCCCTCAGCCGGCCCAGGCCCCACATGGAGACAGCACAGTGTCCGCAAGCTGCACCTTTGTACCGCAGCAGGGCCTGCAGCACTGAGCGCCAGGGAGGAGCCGGCCTTGTGTCTGATATCCACGTGCCCGTGCTAGCCAAGCACACGTCCACGCGGAAGCACACGCAGACGTTCATAGCAGCACGCGCCATGATAGTCAGAAAGTGGCGGTAGCCCTGATGCCTGCCTCCTGATAGCAAAATGTGGTTATCTGTGCGGTAGAATAGTATTCAGCCCCCCCAAAAAATGAAGAATTGGCTCACTTACCTCAACACAGAGGCACCTACTGTGTGACTCCATTTATGTTAAATGTCCAGAAAAAGCAAGCATATAGAGATAGAAGTGGAGCAGTAGTTGCCGTAGATGCAAGGGAGGGGGACAGGTGGCTAGTGGCAGATTTTCTTTTCAGGGTGATTTAAATATTCTACAATGAGGGAGGATTTGTTGATACACAATGTGGTGCATACACTAAAACCATTCCACTGTGCACTTTCCAAAGCTGAATTTTAAACTGGGGACAGGGAATGGCCATGCCTGCTAGTCACAGGCAAAGGCTGGCCATGCTAGAAAGACCAGCCGTGCAATTTAAGGTGGGGGCTCTGAGTCCCACAGCGCAGCAATCTGGAGCCCAGTGCCACCCCAGGGGAGTGAGTCGCCACCCCTGCCCTGAGCACATGTCTCTGTGGGTGAGCCTCCCTCTCCCCACTTGCCTGGACTGGTGCTGTTGTCACTCTTCTGGACACACAAGGACAGGGTAGTAAAGGCGGTGTTGGGAGCTGTCCTGGACTCTGCCTTGGCTGGTTTATGGTCAGTGTCCCCCATAATAAACCACAGTCGCCCTGGGTCCTGTGGGTCCTCCCCTGTGGAAGCTGCAGGTGGCCTGGTGTCCTCGGAGGAGTGCTGTTGGGGGCTGTGTCTTCACACTTTGCAGTATGACTTATTCTGTGTACTCGGTGTAAGAACTGTATCTCCAAAGGTTTTTTCCTAGTGGCAAAGTAACGTGTGTGTGGGGGCTGGGGTGGAACTCGGCAGTGGAGTGCTTGCTAGTGTAGGCAAGGCCCTAGGTTTGAGCTCTAGCAATGATCCAAAAAAGCGTTTGCATGTATTTGTGTGCACGTACGTGTGTGTGAGATCTGTGTTCATTGAGTTCAGTTTGATGAACCTAGATACAAAAAATAATTAAGTAGAGCCAGGTGTGGTGGCACATGCCTGGAATCCCAGCACTGAGGAGGCTGAGGCAGAATAACTATGAGTTCAAGGCCAGCCTGGGCTACATAGTGAGACCCTGTCTCTCACACAAAAATAATATCATTAACCAGACAAATTTATATGCTTAGAAATTAATACACTTATTTCTAAATAACCTGTGAGCCTAAAAAATCATAGGTGGACTTAGAAATTTTTTATTTTTTTATTTATTTATTTTGCGGTATCAGGGATTGAACTCAGGACCCTACACTTGCCAGGCAAGCTCTTACTCTACTGAGCTATCTCTCTGGCCCAGAAATTTTTAATGGAACAATAATAAAACGTTGAAATCTGTGGATGATGCCAAAATATTACCCAGAGGATCAAAATGGGGGTAAAACCTCTGCCTGGGGCCCCCAGCCTAACTCTGGGGGTCACCACTAGGGGCAGCTGATGGAGGGAGGGCTGTGTCCAAGGTGAAGATGTGTCGGTGGTCGGAGCTTTGATCCAACAGCTGACGTGGAAGAGGACTTGCCCAGAAAGGGCTCTTGTGCAGATTATGGAAATGAGGGGCCCCACACGGAGCACCGCAGGGCCTTTGCTCTGTGACCTCTTGTGTTGACAGTGGCTGCTGCACTGTGTGTGTTGGACACGCAGGTTGCCAGGCCTGTGCTGAGCTCAAGAGAGCCGGCTCCTAAGAGGATTGAGAAAGCCTGGGTCCTTCCGACAGTGTGGATGGGTTTTGTGGGTAGTGTAAAAGGACACACAAAAGAAGCCAAGTTGAGAGGCTTCTCTGCGCAGTATGGTTTAAGTGTGAATGCAGGCGACATGGAACAAAGAGGATTTGCTATCGTAACTTTTGATGATCATGATACAGTTGACAAAACTTGCTCAGAACCACTACACTGATAGCGACAGAACTGCACAGCGCAAGAGGCCCTTTTTAGATAAGAGTTGTAGTCTTGGGATCACAGAGAGGCCAGGAGGTTGGATCTGGCACCTTCATGGGCTGGGGAGGACACGAGGTGAGAGTGGTGGACGTGGGTGCTGGGGGTGGAAGGGGGAAGGAGTGCTGGAAGTGACTGCGAGTGAAATGACTTGTGTAATTTCGTGTTGTGGCAGAACACCAAAATGGCCTTTGAGAGCCGCCTCCCTGGTGGACCCCCCACCTTCTCTGGCTCCTGGGTTTTGTAGTTTAAAGAAACTGCTGATCTAGTTTCCAATGAAACTACGACATTGCACATTTCCACCACCAGCGGATGGGAGATCCAGTCTCTTTGCATCCTTGCCAATCTGGGGTGTTGTCGCTACTTGTCATTTTAGCTATTACAGTCGATGTGGAGCCACAGCTCATTGCGGTCTTAGTGAGCTTTTTTCCCTGTGGCCCGTGATGCTGAATAGTTTCGCGTATTAGTATTTGCCAGCTCTGTGTCCTCTTCGGCAAGATGTCTCTTCACGTCCTTTGCTGTTATGGTTTGTATGGGGATGTCTCCCTAAGGCCTCAGGTGACATAGAAGGGGCTGGGGGAGGTGACAGGATCACACGGGGCTTACAGCTGATCGCTGGGGGAGGTGGGGCCTGGACGAAGAGGTGGCTTACTGTGGGCAACTCAGAAAGTTGTGCCTCCCTTCCCTGCTCCCCCCGGACACCACGTCCCCGCCACCATGACGTGAGCAGCTTTTTATCTGCCCTGCTCCTCTGCCAGGCTGTTTCTTCTTCCGAGCCAGCTGCCCCTGACTGTAAAGTGACCCAGTATAAACCTCCTCTCCAGGTGGTGTTTAAGCTCCGGGTGTCAGGGATTGCAGCTCAGCTATGACAAAGTGCCTAAGACATCTGCTCATTTTCTGATTGGGATATCCAGTGGTTCATTGTTGGGTTTTTGTTTTGTTTTCTTTCTCTTTCTTTCTTTCTTTCTTTCTTTCTTTCTTTCTTTCTTTCTTTCTTTCTTTCTTTCTTTCTTTTTTTTATATCAGGAATCAAACTCAGGACCTTATGCTTTCCAGGCAGGCACATACCTGAGCTATCTCCCTGGCTATTGTTAGTTTTAAAAGCATATTCTAGGGGCTGGGGAGATGGCTCAGTGGAATAAGCACTTGCTTGGCAAGCGCAAGGGCCTAAAAAAAAAAAGCATATTCTAGATTTGAGTCCTCTGTGTGACAGCAAGAAGTCACAACTATGTGACCACAGAAATTTGAGGTTCAGATCTACGCAGACAAAGAAGAAGCACGCAACAAATCTGAGAAGATGAAAGTGGGTTTATTATAAAAGTACATCATGGTGGTGCACACCTCTAACCCCAGCTCTTAGGAGGCTGAAGCAGGAGGACCGTTGTGAGTTCAAGACCAGCGTGGGCTACAAAGTGAGCTCAAGGCCTGAACTGCATAGTGAGGCCCTGTCTCAAAAAGACAAAAATGTAAAAATACAGCAGACATGATCACGGTCGAGTAATATATAACCACACAGTGAGGCAGGGGACAGCCCCAACGATGACGGGGAAAGCTTCAGGGAGGGATCCTGCATGAGACAGAGCCTTCGGAGGGCGGGAGAGAGCACCCTGCACCGCAGCGTCTCCCGGTTTCTCGCATACTGTGCGCAGGCACAGTGACCTGGTACCAGCACACCTGCGCGGCTGGAAGGGCTATCACCAGCTGTGGTAGGCTCTGGGAGGGACTAGACCTTCAGGTATGTCTCAGTTACTCATCTCTGGTTGCTGGGACAAATACCCAACACCCAAAATGAAGGAAAGATTTATTTAGCTCGCAGTTAATGGAGGTTTCAGGCCGTACTCGGCTGGCTCCAAGGCAGACTGGCCCTTGGCAGAGGGCAGCAGTTCATGGTGGCTGGCGGCAAAGACCAAGAGCAAATGGGAGGAGCAGCAGCAACAGTGGCTGCAGAGAGCAGGTCTGGCTCCCTTATGTTGCATCCAGGCTGTCCACCTCAAACTGGGTGTAGCACTCATACCCATAATCCCAGCCTCACTCACACCCATAATCCCAGCATCACTCCCATAATCCCAGCCTCACTCACACCCATAATTCCAGTGGATCATGAGTTAATAATCACAAACTCAGCCAGGGAGATGGCGTGAATAAGCACTTCCCTGGCAAGCGCAAGGGCCTGACTTCAATCCCCAGTTCAAAAAAAAACAATCACCAACTCGAGAAATCCGCTGGCCCATGACTGCATGAGGCTTTGGGGGACAACTAGTGACAAACCCTAACAGGGTGTTACCATTATCTCTCTCCACTTCCCCAGGAAGTCGCCAGGCCCCGGCAGAGAGGCCTAGAGGCAGGATCTTTTCAGGGAAAATGCACGTGAATATTCCAGATGAATCTCCTACCTTAACCCTTTCCTTTATACTCACTGATTTGTCTTCTTTTACATATCACACTTCTGGTGTATAAGAATGCCTTCCAAAGCCCTGGGCCCTGAGTATTTTCACCTACATGTGCTACAGTTTTACAATTTACATTTACTTCTGGGACTTAATTTTTGTATAAAGTGTGAGGTTCAAATTTAGGTTGAGTTTGGTGCCTTTTTTTGAACTTATGGATGTCTAATTGCTACAGCGCCATTTGTTGAAACTACTACCCCTTTGGGTATTCCTTGGGATTTCTTCACAGATTTGCAATTTTATTTTATATATTGTTTTTGTGCCTTTGTCAAGAACCAGCTAGTGGTTATTGTATAGAGCTGCTTCGTGGGTCTCGTCTCTGCGCCTTTGGTCCTTGTGTCTGTCCTTTGCTGAGTGTCCCAGTCTTGGTTACAGTAGCTGATTGAGCAGTGATGCCTTTTTGAAAATTGTTTTTAATTCTTTTTTTTTTTTTTTTTTTGGCGGGACCAGGGATTGAACTCAGGCCCTTGTGCTTGCCAGGGAAGCACTTATTTCACTGAGCTATCTCCCCGGCCCCGTTTTTAATTCTTTTAGTTCCTTGCTTTTTCACAAAAGTTGTCTCATAAGCTGTTTACACTCACAAAAGCATTGCTAGACGTGCTGTTGGAAGGTGCTGAGCCTGTGTGCTGTTTTAGGGAGAAGGGCACCTTTGCTGGGTTGAGTTTACCAATCCAGGGTGTGGTGTGTTTCTCCTCTTACATCGCTGGTTTTTCTCATCGGCGTTTTGCAGCTTTTCGTGTATAAGTTTTGTACATGTTTTGTATATGTATTTTGTTTTCTGAGTGTAAAAAATATTGCATTTTAGGGGGCTGGGGAGATGGCTCAGTGGAATAAGTGCTTCCCTGGCAAGCGCAAGAGCCTAAGTTCAATCCCCAGTTCCACCAAAAAAAAAAAAAAAAAAAAAAAAAAAAAAAAAAAAAATGCATTTTAGGTTTCGGTTACGTAATATTCATTGTTAGTACATAGGAATACAATTGATTTCTAGACATTGATCCTGTGCCCTTGCTACGCTAGGCTATTAAGGAGCTTTTGCTTTTATCTTTGTCTTGGTAAATCCCTTGGGATTTTCTACATGGCTCATCATGCCCGTGTCTGCAAGCGGGGATAATCAGATTCCCTTCTGTCCTACGTGTGCCTCTGTTCTCCCATCCGGGCTGTGTGTGCAGCGCTGAGGATGATGGGAGCAGACGTCCTCCCTTCACTCTCACCACCAGGAGAAGGCGGCATCCAGTTCCCCCACTGTGGGCCGGACCTAGGGCTTTAGTAGGTGTCCGCTGTCAGCTGGATGAAGCTCTCCTCTTCCTGATTGGCTGAGGGTTGTCCAACCTGATGGCTCACGCAATTCATGAAAGTTAGCTCCAGACAGAAATTAATTCCTACTTTTAGACTATTCATTTAGAAGCTGAGCATGGTGGGACATACCAGCCCAGTACTTGGGAGGCTGAGACAGGAGGATCATCCCAGGTTTGAGACTAGCCAAGGCTAGATAGGGAGTTCAAGGGCAGCCTGAACTATATAGCTTAGCCCTGTCTCAAAAAAATTTAAAAAAATTTTTTTTTTCAAAAACTGAACTTTTACTTTGATGAAACTTTTTTTTTTTTTTTTTGTGGAACTGGGGATTGAAGCACAGGCCCTTGTGCTTGCCAGGGAAGCGCTTACTCCACTGAGCCATCTCCGGGCCCCTGAACTTTAACTTTGAAACAATCACAGATACACAAGTTGCAAATATAGTGAGTTTCTATACATCCATTACCCAGCTCTGCGTGCGATGACACGTTCTATAACTGTAATGTTCTGGTAGATTGGAACAGGACACCTATTAGGTTATAATGATCTTTGACTTCACCAGAAAATGCCTTTTTGAAAAGCAAAACTAAAACATTTAGGTAATAAATTAAAATGTGTCCATAACCTCACAATAGAGAAACAGCTGTTGAAAAAAACAGTAGTAGAGGGGCTTGGGAGGTAGCTCAGTAGATTAAGTGCTTACCTGGCAAGCGCAAGGGCTGGAGTTCAATCTCCAGTTCAAAGTAGTAGAAAAAAATACAATTGCCTGTTTTAAAATCAGCAATTTCAGTTCATCAAAAGACACCATAGAGGGCGAGCCTAGTGGCATAAGGGCCTGCCTGGCAAGTGCAAAGTCCCAAGTTCGATCCCCAGTATAGCATGCCGTGCTGGCCCTGGAACCAGGCGTGGTGGTGCACATCCCAGCGCTGGGGAGGCTGAGACAGAAGGACCACTATGAGTCCGAACTGCAGAGCGGGACCCTATATGAAAAATAAAAAATAATTTTTGAGAAAAGACACCATAGGAATTAGAAAGCAACAAGCTACAAACAGGAAAAAATAACAATGTGGCGAACAGTGCTAGTAACCTGAACATGTAAAAGACATCTTGTGAATGAGTAAGAAAACTGTAAAAACCTATGAATTTGCCCTGAGCTAGGTCTCCAGCCCTTCCCTCACCCACCCAGCCTGTTGCTAAATTGCTCGGGTCAGCAGACTTCCCACCGCAACCTCCTACGCATACGCAGCACGGGCCCCATCTGTATTGGAAGGAGCAACAGTAACATCTCTGATAGGCGACAAAGTCTCCTGGATGCTCTCACGCTGGGCCTTGCCTTGCAGAATCCCCAAGTCCCAGCGCAGGGAATACAAGGTGCTGTACAACTCGCAGCTGCTGTTCCACCGCAGGCTCTATGCAGACCTGGAGACCATCCTGTACCACGTGCACCTCTCCACGCCTGTGGCGCAGCTCCTGAGGCAGCAGGCGCTCTACGTGCGCGGTGCCGTGCCACGCACTGTCTTCCAGGCTCTGGCCAGGTGGGGCCGGGGTGGAAGGGCAGGTGGGGGAGGGGGAGGGGAGAGTCCGCCCCCTCCTCCTTCCCCTCCCCCTTCTCCTCCTGCCAGCTAGTGCTCCTCGAACGTTTGATAAAGTAACCAAGTGGGGCTGTGGTGAAGCACGTCTGTAATCCCCGCACTCAGGGAGGCTGAAGCAGATGGATATTCCCAAGGGGTCTGGATTACATAGCCACATCCCTTGGGGAAAAACAAAAAGAGCCAAGTGTGCTGGGGCACACCTCTGGGAGGCGGCCGGGGAAGGAGCAAACGTTTAACCCCAGTTGGGCAGTTTGACAATTTGGTCAAATAAGACTCTCAAGATTTTTTTTCTTTTCTCTCTTTAGAAAGGGCTACGAATATAGCTCAGCACAAAGGTCCGGGTTTACTCCCCAGTGCCACAAAAACTAGTTGTAATAGTAGGTGGTGGTGATGGTGGTAATAACAGTAATAGAAAAGGAGGCAGCAGAGACAGGGAGAAAGAACTGTGCTGAGGGCTCCGCCTTACTCCTCCACCCTGGGCAGCTGCCCTGAGGGCGGGTAGGTGACACTTGCTGTCCTTCCCAGCAGCCTGGGGGAGTTCCCAGCCTGGTGCCAAGGAGATGCCAAGCCAGCGTTTGGGGTCCCAAGCCTGGGGATAGCAGGACCCTGTGCTGGCGCCCACAGTGGGAGGTCGCTGGCCACCCCGTCAGGGAGAGAGGAAAGCTGTTGATGCAGAGCAGGGCGAGTTGCCGTCACCATGGGTTTGCGCCCACCTGAAAGGGGAGGAGTGGAAATGGGACAAGCCAGACACGAAGCAGCAGCTTCACCCCAGACTGAAGGAGCCAGGGGCATGTGTGCTGGGCAGTGCCCGTGGGGATCTGGCCCTGCCATGCTAGGCCCAGGAGAGGGGACCAGCGGGGACTGTTTTTAGTTTTGTTTTGCTTTGCTTTGCTTGTGTGGTACTGGAAATTAAATCAAGGGTCTTTTCACTGTGCTATGTCCCCAGTCTCTTGAGTTTGATGTTTTGATACAGCATTTGCTAAATTGCCCAGGCTAGCCTCAAACTCATGATCCTCCTGCCTCAGCCACCTGGAGTGCCTGGATTACAGACATGCGCCACCACTCTGGGCACCATGAGGGCCTTTGGAAGGGAGGAGAGGCAGGACCAGCACAGAACGAGGCTGTGTGCACCACCCTCCCCGGCGCAGGATTCTGGGAGCACACCTCTGACACCAGCCTGTTAGGGATGCTCCGCAGTGGAGCGGGGGCTGCTGGGAGACATGGATAAGGCCAGGCACAGAAAAGCAGAGCAGATGCGGGAAGTCCTAAACATCTGGGGAAATGGAGAAAGAGTTCTCATTGCCTCTTATAAGACAGGGACAGGGCTGGTGAGATGGCTTAGTGGTCTTAAGCACCTACTTAGAACAAGCTTAGCAAAGCACAGGGACCACGGTTCAATCCCCCAGCACCACATGCCAACCAGCCCCGCCCCCTGGTGGGCTGAGCTAGCCACACACACACACACACACGCATGCACGCACGCACACACACACACACACACACACACATAAAAAAAAAAAAGAGGGACAGCCATCCCTGTGTCACTGAGCAGGCAAGGCTGACTGGGTGGCTATTCACTCCAGGATCCATGACATCTGCCACACCAGCACCCGGCTCAGGGAGGTGATCGTGAGGGACCTGCTGCCATCTTCTGCCATGCTCAAAGACCTGAACCAACAGTTTGGGGTGCCCATCTCACAAGAGGACCTCATGGATGAAGGTCCTGTGGCCCTGCCGCCACAGTCGGCCCCCAACCTAGAAGCCTTCCGGTGCCGGGCCTCCACCTTCACCTCCGAGATCCTCGCCCACCAGGAGAAGTACCTGCAGTGGCGGGCCACCATGCTGCGGAGGAGCCAGTGCCAGGACAGCCTGGTCCAGGTGGGTGGCCCCTCCCACCTGCCTCTGGCCTGGGACTGCAGGCTGGAAGGGGCAGGGGTCTGGGCCGAGAGGGTAGAGGTGTCCACCATCAGTGCTGGCTGGCCTCCTCTGTTCTTCTGCAGGTAAGAAGGGAGGCATGTAGGCATGTGACATTGGCCAGGGTCCCAGAGTTCATCTTAGAGAAAGAACTGTCCCATGTGCATGCATTCATGTATACGTGGTACATGTGTGCCCTCATGCCTGAGCTGCCAAGGGCATGCACATCATGAGGGGCCCGAGCAACAGGGCAGAATCCATCCCCTGCCTCGAGTGTCCAGGCGTCTTGTTCTTGCTTTGTCTCCTTGCAGTCCCCCTTCCCCAGGTCCTAAAAGCTTATAAACCGCTTTATGTGTAGGTGTGACCTAAGGAGTTGACATTAAGCCAGAAAGGTGCTCATACCTGTAATCCCAGCCACTTAGGAGGCTGACACCGGAAGGCTGAAAGTTCTAGTCCAGCCTAGGGAATTGAGGGAGAGCCCATCTCAAAATAAGGAAAGAGAAAAGGTCAGGATGTATCACTCAGGGCAAAGGCCCTCAGTTTGATTCACATATAC